AGCAAATTCTTCAGGGAACTTATTTTTGTTGCAGGCAGATTGCGATCATCATCTGTGCAAACATTCTGGGTTGTTAACCATTGGGCATAATCCATCTCTGGCGTTCTGGGCATAATGAAGTTTCACTTACATCAACTTTTTAATTTTCACCTTTGAGGGCCCGTAACTTGTTAACGAAGGCCCGTATGAAAAAAAATTATATGAAGAACTGATATTATTTTGCCCTCATCTATTTGTACTCAACTTTTTTGTATCAAGTACCAGGACACCCTGTATACAGTATGTCCCGGATTGAGTTTACGAAAAAAGGCATTCTTGATAAAAGTGTTTGCTTGTTTAGAAAATAGGAGTCGCCATGACGAACTTCAATTTTGTTGTTCAGGGTGGGTCAAAAACACAAAAATGTTATTTTGCTTAAGAGTAAACATACTTTATTTTGCGAGATACGAAAAAAGACATTCCTGATAAAAGTTTTTGTTTGTTTAGAGAATACGAATTACCATGATGAACTTCAATTTTGTTGTACAGGGTGGGTCAAAAACACAAACGTGTTATTTTGCTTAAGAGTAAACAAACTCTATTTTGCAAGATACGAAAAAAAGACGTTCTTGATAAAAGTTTTTGTTTGTTTAGAAAATACGAATCACCATGATGAACTTCAATTTTGTTGTACAGGGTGCGTCAAAAACACAAAAGTGTTATTTTGCTTAAGAGTAATCATACCTTATTTTGCAAGATACGAAAAAAGGCATTCTTGAAAAAGGTTATTTCTTGAAAAATGAATAAGAGTCGATATCTGTCCATGGCATTATAGGCTCATACTTTTATAATAACACATGCAACAGAATATCATACTTAGAAATGCTTGATGCATTTTTAGCGATGGACTCGAACATTTACCATTAAATTTTTGCCAAAAAATGTATTTTCAACAGGATAGTTGTCCAGCACATTGTGTTCGTGAGATAAATGAATGGCTTAACCATAGATATGGTCCAAGATGGATTGGTAGAAATGGTCCAATTTTGTGGCCTACAAGGAGCCCTGACTAAACCATGGCCAATGTGTTTCTATGGGGTCGTTTAAAACAAATTGTTTATGCTACTCCAATACCAAATAATATTGAAATGCAAAACGGCAGAATTATTCACGCCGTCTGTTCAATATCCCAGGAAGAAATCAGAAATTTCTTCAGATATTTAAGAAAGCAATAAGAATAATGTAGGTATTCAATATGGGGATGGGAAGTTTGATGTCTTCATCATATTGCTTTGTTTACTTCTTTATAGCTAAATTGTTGTTGTAATTATTTTCGTATTATGTATTTGAAAATTACACTTGAATAAGACTTATTTTATGTTTGTACTTTGTTCCCTGTATAAAAAATAAAATTTTTGATAACGTGACTCCTATCCATTTTTCAAGAAAAAACTTTTATCAAGAATGTCTTTTTTTCGTATCTTGCAAAATAAGGCATGTTTACTCTTAAGCAAAATAACATTTTTGTGTTTTTGACCCACCCTGAACAACAAAATTGAAATTTGTCATGGCGACTCCTATTTTCTAAACAAGCAAACACTTTTATCAAGAGTACCTTTTTTTCGTATCTTTCACTTTTTGATCCATTTGTCTTCTTGTAAACACAGTCCGCGGACATACTGTATATCCAGAAATTTTGAATATAATACAGTGTTTTCACTAATGGCACTGTACTTTGTATCACACACTTAAAAAATAATGTCAAGTGAAACCAGAGCTAGAGACATCCAGAAATCGAATTTTAAATGACGCAAAAATACATGTCGCAAAATGTGTTTTCCCTTCGTAAACAAAGGGTTTCCCAAAATTCACGCAAGAAGTAATTTTGATAGAAAACACAGGATTTTAATTAAAACTTTTTATCGATACATAAAGTATATAGTACTTATGTGGGCTGCGCTGGCACAAACACTCTTTTGTCGAAATTTTCCATGACCATTTTACGTAAATGCGGCTTAATTTCGTTGATACAGCTCTCAATTTCCTCTTTCAAGGCGTGATTGGTCTTGGGCATGTTGGCATAAACCTTAGACTTTGAAAAACCCTAAAGAAAAATCGCATGATCTGGTCGGCCAATTCTAATCACCAAAACGGGAAATTACACTACCAGGAAATGACTCAAGCACTAATTGAATTGTTTCTCGGACTGTATGGCATGTGGCATCGTCTTGTTGAAACAACATGTCGTATACATCCACATCTTGCAATTTAGGCCGAAAAAATTGGCTTATCATGTCACGACAGCGATCAACATTAACTATTATTGCCTGACCAGCCGCATTTCCGAAGAAGAATAGTTCGATGATACCTCTAGCCCAAAATCCGCACCAGACTGTAACATGTTGTGGATACATTTGTTTCTCAACAATCACCCGTGGACTTTCTGAACCCCAAACGCGACAATTTTGTCGATTAATGAAGTCGTCAAGATGAAAATTATCCTCATCGCTGAAGATGATTTTGTTCGAAAAATCAGCATCCACTTGTTATTGTTCCAGAATCCATTTAACGAATTCTCTTCGCTCTGCATGGTCAGTCCGCTTCAATTCTTGAGTCAATTGAACTTTGTAAGCGTGAAGATGCAAATCTTTCGTGAGAATATTATGTAGAGAGCTTTTCTAAATGTAAATTCTTGGCCACGGTGCCGAATTGATGTTCCTGAACTCTCAGCCACACTCTCTCGAACTGTTTCGATGTTTTGTGTTAAACGACTTACTTGTTAAAGGACGACCAAAGTGTTTAAGATGACTAATTGTTCCAGTCTCCCCGACTTTTTCAATTAATCTCTTCGCAGCTGATGAAGTGAAATCACTATTCCGACCATATTTTCAACGAAAATTACGAACTGTAGCTGCCAAACCTTCATTATTTAGAAAATATTACTCAACAATGAAAACGCGTTGTTCTTTCGTGAGCCCTCCATCTTTAATAACCCTGAACTGTCAGCTGTCACTCTGGTAACACTTTACCGCATAAATGGCGCAAAATTGAAATCTTGCGTGAATTTTGAGACACCCGATATAAATCGTCAGTCCCTCGATAATATATTTAAAAACGAAAGATACGATAGCTGGCAATTAAGAACTGTAATCAATCCGTTAATTAACTATTCCGCAGTAAACGGCCCGTACAAATTTAATTATTGTTTTGCCAATGGTACTCTGCAATTTAAATTATGCAATTCAAGGCACATTCGATCGCGATATGTGCCTGAAGTAATTAAGTTGCAAATTATTGCCAGTGAGAGTGCTAATCAGCCAAGTAGGAATTAATAAATTGCATAATGGTAATTAAGAGTGATATATGCATCAGTTAAATTTTTATTGCGCTATTACGCTATTACGTACGCCTTAAAATGTAATTACAATTTGCTCTTATATTTATTATCTCATATTTAAAGCAAACTAATTAATTTAGATACGCTATAATCGAAAGTTACTGCAATATATCGAGTCATATCTTTTTATATCATAAATTAATTCCTTCAATACAGAAACAGTAGGCTGTTTCTGTATTGAGTCTAGGGACTCTTGAAATTGCTGTTGCTGACCATTTTTTTTAACAATTTCTTCGAATTTTTCACTTTTATTATCTCCAAGAAAATGTTTAGGCACTTCTTTAAAACTCAAACTTATCTTTTTCTTTAGCATTCATTGATTCAGGTTGCATGGTTGTGTTTTAAAAACGTGTAGAATTTTTTTTTAAAATAACAAAAGTGGAAAATTCTAAGAAATAGTAGAAAAATGGCCAACAACAATCTAGGGCCTATACTCCAGTCTAGAGGCTGTTTAATGGATCTCAAGTTACTTTTCCCCAATTCACTTCCCTGATAATCTTGGGGACTTTCGTGAAGAACACAGTGAAAGGTTCCATCAGGACCTTAAAGAAATGAAAAGGCGATATTAAGGAAGGTAGAACGTAAATATGTTGACTGACTATTATTGGAATCTGAAACGGGATATGCCGGAAGCAAAAAAAAGTGAAAGACATCCTGTTCGCAGATCATTTGACAACAAAAGAGATACTGTAGAAACAGACTCCTTCTTTGGCTAAATTGAGGGATTTTTGGGTCCATTTTCACCATAAATATAGATTTTAAAAGATACTGATCGGCGGTACATAAATTCTGACTACAATATCGTTTTCAGCTCATCAAAATACGTCGGAAATGATATGTGAAATCTTTGGGTTCGGACTTTTTTGTGTAGCTATTAATTAAAATGGCCAACTTTGACTTAGAGTGAGTTTTATCGACTATGTGCATCAAAATGTGTAGCATTGCCGGAGCCTACATCTTCGACTCGAGTTTTTTTTGTATGCCGGTGTAATTTTTTATTTCTAAAATATTTGAACCGGCCGTGTCGTTCACAGAGCATATGTGACGTCACACCACTCGACTGGTTCTGTCCAACAGATCAGTGCGCTATTAGCTACTACATCTTTCCTGTTTATTGGCATTTTTTCTACAAGTGGAAAAAAATTAATTTATTAAAGAAGTCTTTGCGCCAACCAAGTGCTTTTTTATTAAATAGTTTTTGAGTAACCAAAAATCAGTGTCCCGAAAAATGCAGACAAGTAAAAAATACACATCACTATATCACGCAGTTCAATTACAGACTCTGGTTTAAGAAGGGGATAAGACAATTTATTTTGAAAATGGTATTTCTGCAGATATTAATTTAAAAATGTACCTATTCTTTTTGTCTGGTGCAAATATGGAATCTGTGGGCTTAATAAAAACTAAACTATAAGATAAAAACACTTATTCTGCTGTAGACTAGTACGCTTGGTATATGGCCATTTGTTTATCTCAAACATTGGAATGGATAAACTTGACCCATTGCAATATTGGGAAGCTCCATTTGCGACTATCGATTGATGGAGTTTTTCGAAGAAGGATATTTTGTGACACAAAGCAAGCATTAAAAAAAATTATGTTGACATAACAGAATAAGTCTAACCTTGTGCTGAGTGATCAGCTCCGCCCATCCAGCTATGAACTGAGGCTTCCTGAAGAACCACAGAAGAATGGAGAGGACGAAACACAGCCCTACAGCTTTCTCGTGGAAGGACAGAGGGCCCAGCTCCTCGATCTTCTGGCCGATCAACCTCCTCGCCACTGTTTCCCCTTGGGTGCCCACCCTGATCTTCTTGGCGTCCACCGAGTTGGGCCTGAACAGACCCATGAAGAATACCTGAAGCCAGATGACGGAGATGTACATGATCAGGAGCATGATTGGCACGTTCAGTATCATCCACTTGTTGAATTCGACACCTACAGACGAGAAACAGGCATATAATGATTTGCTAGAGAGAACTTTCTAACTTTACCAACCTGGACTGTCGGGGAACAAGGTCTCGTATAACCCTTTGAAAGTTAAATTGGTCCCAGATCCGATGATACATCCCAACCCCCCTATGTTGGCGGCATACGCCGTAGAAATGAAGTAGCACATCGTCGTCTTCGTCGGCTTCTTAGCTTCGGGCTCCGCATTCTCGGCAAGGTGTTCTTCCTCCAAATCGGTGCTCTCGTACATCTCACCGATACCCTGCTCCTCCAACGCCTTCAGGGTGGCCTCGATGATGGGAATCATCATCGCCGTAGCGGCGGTATTGGAGATCCACATGGATATGAACATAGTGACGGTCACCAACCCCAAATTCAACCTCCGAGGACTACATCCTACCTATGAGAAAAAAAATCCAGTAGATATAAATCTAGTGGTTTCAGAGACCACTCACCAGTTTGATAACATGCAGGGCTACCCTGGTGTGAAGGTGGCAGTACTCCACGGCTATGGCTATGACCAGGCCCCCCACGAACATCATGTTGGTCTCCTTTAGGTAGCACAGCGACACCTTGTCGGAGTCCAGCACCCCCATCAGCGGGAACAGCACCATGGGGATGAGCGAGGTGACGGGTAAGGGCAGGACCTCGAATACCCAGTACCCCGCCATCAGGAGTACCACGAAGAGGCATCGCATGGCGGCAGTGTTGTTACAAAGGAAAACGGGCAATAGGACTAGGGGGTACACAATCACGAAGATGGTCTTCCAGTAGATCCCGAGAGCCCGGAGGAGCAGGTAGCATTTGTTGGCCATGGTTTCGAAGGTTTTCACTGAAAAAAAAACGCAAGAAATACATTGCTACTCATCAAACATAGCTTAATGGTGATTGACTAAGGATTTTGTTATCTATGAAGTCACAAGGATGCCTTTTGGTTTAAGTGAAGTCACTGCAGAGTGGTGCTTCAGAAGGTACCATATCACACCATCTTTTTAGCGTCAATAATTAATGATTGTGAAGTAAAAAGATGTTTGATTTAAGATTTTTGTTCGTCATGAATACGGTTTTATAGATTTACAGAAAAGATGGTGATTGGACTGTATTTCTCTGTACAAAGTGATTACTATTTTAAAAATATTTAGTTGCAACTAGTTGAAAAATAATCTAGAAATACGTACTTTTTAATTCTATTTAAATCTAGCGATCACAGACGCAACTATCACACTCGATCAAAGACACAGGCCACTAGACCACACAACGAGGTGCCAACCGTACTATTGGTCGCGAAATTTAAGCAATAAATTCGACTAAACCCACACTCGAGCCGTGAAAATTACACGCGAACGGCTACCACGACGTAAGACCTCTCCTGGAGTATATGATCGTCCCCGATAGATGGTTTTCACCGTTTTCATCAAGACAATGCCTAGGAGTTTTCTCAGTGGGCACTTGCGTTCGCATGGTAACTTCACAATCACGCGTCGCTCCGTCCTCTCGCCTTTTTATAGCGCGCTCGGATGTCAGAGGTCCCGGCTATGAATTGCGATATACAAGGGTCGCTGCGATTAAGAGCAACGGGATGTTGCCGCTTGTTTTTGACATCTAGCTGGCTGTGGGACCCAGTTTCGGGTGCAAAGTTGAAAGTTGGGGATCGGCTTGTTTTTCAAGAGGTGAAAGTGGACTTTGGCAACGGAAAATAACTTTCGAGGTGATCAGTTCTTTATTTTAAGAAATGTTAATAGAATATGAAACAAATGAAAGAATTTTGGACATTCAATCACCCTTTTTGGTGGTGGATAAACTAAAAACAAAACATGGTTTGAGAACCTTTTCTAGATAGCGGTCGAAGAAAAATCTAGTTGCGTTAGGTCTGTTCATCTTGCAGGCCGTTGTATGATTGTTTAAATTATTAATCTAGCTGCCTCCAGTCATATAGTTTGTGTTATACAGGTTGTTACAAATTCGCTTCTCACTATAGGGATCTCGGAAACGGTAAGAGATACGAACTAGCTTAAACGGGGGCAAAGTTGCATAATCAGGGGACCAACATTATGCTTCTAAAAAATCAAGGCTAACATGATTAGTTTTCGAAATAGGTATTTGAAAAAATCGAAATTTTGAGAATCCGTTTTTGTTTCATTTCAGCCTTGTTTGAGTTGATATTGAAAAAATACACTTTCTGGAAACTTTTTGCCCTCTTTCAAAAAATGACAATCAATTTTTATATTTTAACGTTTCGTCTCTCTAGACTAGAACCATCATCAAATTAATTTTTTTAGATACGAACCTGGAAATTCATTACATTACATTACAACAACTTTTCTTAAAATACACTCGCGTTAATTATACATTAAATACATTTTTCTCATAAATCTTTAACTTTTCGAAAAACTTGAAGACATCACAGTCAGTAAATGAATGGGGCTTTTTAAACATATTTCCTAAAAGGAAAAAATTATAAGAAAAAATGTCATAGAGGTTGATTATTTCAACCCCTTACAAAAATACAGTGTTGAATTTCAAAAAGTGTAATTTTTTTGACAGATAATGTACACCAAGTTTGGTTTCTTTACTTGATATACATGGAACATAAAAAAGAAAAACATTTTTTTTTTAATTTTTGGAAGGGCGTTAATTTTTCAGGGAAGAGTTTTTTCAAAAAATTTTATACCAAAGATCCCTATTAATTTTCATTAGAGAATCGCCCCTTACATTTTTATTTAGATACACCCTGTATAATGGTCAACCCTTTAAAAACATGTAAAAACTTTGTCACCTTTTTAATTAATAACATGTTTTTTCCTCATATCAAATCTTATACTTATATGTTTATACCTGAGAATAAATGTGCAAGTAATTCCAAGAATGCCTTCAAAGCTTTGCGTCATATTTTATACAGGGTCGGAAAGTCCCCAGTAAGAAGTGGATCTTATTTGTGGAAGGGCGAAATGGGCTGTGACTATTAGACGCCTTCATTATAGCCATCTTTCTCTACCGCACGGATTTCTATGACTTACTTTATCGCTCTCACGTAACGGCCGATGAACCATGGGGACTTTCCGACTCTGTATTCGATTAATGTAAATGCCTTAAATTGCTAAATGAGTACCTAATTGGTGTAATTAATGATTATAAATATTTTTTTATTAAAGTTCTACCATCAGTGACGCATTATATATTGGACAAAAAATGACATTCGCGAGGGATAGGAGGCATTGGGACAGAGTGATGCTGTTTTATTGAAATATATAGAATACAAAAACTTCTAATGTACTAACTAGATTTTTATTTTATTTTGGTCGTCATTTTTATTAGATTTTCACATTTTTAAATTCAGCGCATTTTTCTGACTACATTGACGTGTTAGATGATGTAATTTACTTTTCTACAAAAATCCACTTTTACAAAGAGTGCTTTGAAAACAAAACTAGTATTTAAACTAAATTTTGACCATTTCAGATATATTGCTATTGACAAAGTCAGTGTTGCTGATTAAAAACACGGTTCTCCCATGAAACATAGCCAATATTCTTCTAATTAATTCTTCAGTTCGAAGCATATCTCACTCTTTCTCATGTAAAAATTTCATTATCAATTTCATCGTTACAGAAAATTTAACTGAACTGTCAAAACTTCGTTTAAAGTAACTGTTAAATTTTTTGTTTGCAAAGCACTCTTTGTAAAATTGGATAATTTGATATTTCCATAGAAATAAAGAATCAAACCATATGATATGATACATCAATAGTAATCAGGAAAATGGCCGAATACAAAAATGCAAAAAAATAAAACTTATCTATAATATCTTATATATATCATTTCTCTGTCCACGATTAACACGATACATAGGTATTTGAACTCCCCTATTTTTTCCAAAAACTGTTATTAAAGTAAAGGAGTTGTTAAAAAATTATGTACTCCACATTTCAGAAAAATCTAACTTTAACCACTCACCCGAAATATAATAATATTGCTTTTTTTGTTATAAGTTCAAAACCAAATAATATGGAAAATCTATTCAACCTGAAGTGTGTTTACAAAAATATAATATCAAAAAGGAGTTGTACTGTACAGAGTGGTCGATTTTCGATAGTTTTATAGGGTCCAGCCAAAACGGTGATAGATACAAAAAATCTGATATCGATGTCTCATCCTCTTCTTTTGAATTTACTTCGTTGGTTCTAAAAAATCCTCGATTAGTTGTAGATATACGGTTTTTTTTTGAAAAATTTACATTAACCTTTCTATCTCTGTTATCATTAAATTTAGAATAAAAAAGTTTGAACATTATTTGTTCTATTTTTTATGAGGAAGAAATTGGCGTCAGATGTTTTACAAATCGCACAGTTTTTCCGATATTACATAATTTTTTAAATACAACACTATGTATTTGGCCATCCGGGTGAATGGCAATTTTTTTACTGTTTCAGCCATATATAATAAATAGATACTTTTTATTTGCCTAAATGAAGAAAAATGAAAAAAATTTATATTTTTTCAGTTGGCCATGACATTTATTTAGTATTCGTACATTACTTCGTTTTCTATTTATCTATTATTTTTATATTTGGCACCTAACTTAGATTAAAAAATTACAAGAAAAAATAAATTAAATTATCATAAATTAAACAAAAATAACAACTATAAGAAAAGAGAAAGAACAATGGAACGAAAGTAACAACAAAGTCCCGGCAAGTGCTCGAATTGTCGACCATTTTCGTTGATACATAATTGACAACGTTTGGCAATAGAGCGGGTCGCATTGTAAATGTGGATATTTGACACCCGTTGAATATAATTTTCAAAATGTTCCCTTAGTTCCTCGACAATATCAGCTCTATACTTATAAATTTTGCCTTTAAGATCCCCCCAAAAATAAAATATATAGGGGTTAGGTTTGGTGATCTAGGCGGCCACCTGTTTGTTCCGTACGTACCGATTCAATTGTCTCCGAATGTTAGACTTTTCTTATAGTATTTGGTCGAGACTTGCCTCTTTTTAATTCTCAAAGCTTTGAATTTACCAATTCCTGTCGTCCTTTGAATTTCTCTGATGCATACATTGGGATTTGCGGCAACAAAAGCTAAAGTATTGATTTTATCATTTTCTCTATTCTGTATATTATATGATAGGTTTCTGAAAAGAACCAAACTCACACAAGTTATCATAGAGTCGGTTAAAAATGATCTTTTCTGGCTGATGACGTTTTGGGTATCTCTCCAAATATAAGTTTAAAGCTGCGTCATTATTTTTTTTTACTTTCATAGTAACACTTCAACATTTGAACTTGAAGGTTTTCGTACACAATTTTATACCTTTCAAAATTTATAAAACCAAGTAATAGTCGTTCAACAAGCTTTCAATCAGTTAAAAATAAATTAACTGTCAATATTAAACAACAAAAGACGAATATTAAATAAATCTCATGGCCAACTGCAAAAATATAAATTTTTGCATTTTTCTTTATTTAGTTAAATAAAAAGTATATATGGCTGAAAAAACAATTGCTATTCAACGGGATGGCCAAATAGAGGGTGTTCTATTTTAAAAAACCTATGTTTATGTAATACCAGAAAAACTGTGCGATTTGTAAAAAATCTGAGTACGCCAATAGCTTACTCACAAAAAAATAGAACAAATAATGTTCAAACTTTTTTCTTCTAAATTTAATGAAAACAGAGATAGAGAGGTTAATGTAAATAGGCAATTTTCCAAAAAAAAAAACCTGTATACCGACGGGACGTCGATATCATGTTTTTTGTATCTATCATTGTTTTGGCTGTACCCTATAAAATTATCGAAAATCAACCAATCTGTACAAATAGTGAAAAT